TGATCTCACCCTTCCCCCACTGCTGCTGATAGAGATCTACCACACCTACCTTGAGTGTCACTTGGATCCCTGCCCCACCTTCAAGCACTGGCCTCAGCTCCTTGGCCCCACCCAGCACGCACCTCTGGATATCCACTGAAGAAGTAGACATTCTACTAAGCCACAGAGGTGTACTTCAAAGATAGAAGCAGTCAGAGAAGAAAGCCAACAAGTGTTTCCAGAAAGGTGTAAAAATAAATGTAGAAATATAAGAAATGTGAACAAGGAAGACAGGATGACTCCCCAGAAGGAACACAGCAACACTTAATGTGAGACTGTGAAGATGAACAGATTGATGAAATACCTGAAAAGGAACTAAAAAGAATGATCTTAAGATTGCTCAAGAACACAGAGAAGCAAATGCATGACAGGGATGAGAAATTCTACCGGGAGATAGATATTGAAGAGAAATCAAACTGAAATATTAGAATGAAGAATTCAATATGTCAAATAAAAAATACAGTGGAAATCCTTAACAACAGACTTATGAGGCAGAAGAAAGAATATCTGAGCTAGATGACAAATCATTGGAAATATTTCAGACAAAAGAAAATATTATAAAATGGTGTTCAAGATTTATGAAAGGGACTGGCCCTATGTGTAGTGGGTTAAGCCTCCGCTTGCAGTGCTGGCATCCCAAATGGGCCCTGGTTCAAGTCCCATCTCCTCCACTTCCAATCCAGCTCCCTGCTAATGCTACTGGGAAAGCAGTAGAAGATGGCCCAAGTCCTTGGGCCCCTGCACCCACGTGGGAGACCCGGAAGAAGCTCCTGGCTCCTAACTTCAGCCTGGCCTAGCCCTGGCCATTGTGACTATTTGGGAGTGAACCAGTGGTTGGAAGTTATCTCTCTGTCTCTCCTTCTCTCTCTGTATCTCTGCTTTCAAATGAATAAAAAGATCTTTTTTTTAAAAAAATCAACAACTCAAAAATAATCAGAAAAGAAACAGCAGAGCTAATCTATACTATTGACCAGATGGACCTAATGGATATCTACAGGTCATTTCATCTCATATCTGCAGAGTACACATTCTTTTCATCTGTGCGTGGAACTCTCTAGGATAGACCATATGCTAGGCCATAAATCAAGTGTCAGCAGGTTCCAAAAAATTAAAATCATACCATGTACCTTTTCTGACCACAATGGAATGAAGCTGGAAATTAACAACTTTAAAAACTAGAAAATATGCAAACACACGAAGACTGAACAACATGCTCCTGAATGGACTGTTGGTCACAGGGGACATCAAAAGGGAAATCGGGAAATTCCTGGAAATAAATGAAGGTGACAACACAGTGTATCAAAACATATGGAATACAGCAAAAAACAGTGTTACGAGGAAAGTGTGTAGGAATTAGTGCCTACATTAAGAAATTTGAGGGGCTGGCGCTGTGGCGTAGTGGGTAAAGCCACCACCTGCAGTGCTGGCATCCCATATGGGCGCTGGTTCAAGTCCTGGCTGCCTCACTTCCCATCCAGCTCTCTGCCATGGCCTGGGAAAACAGTAGAAGATGTCCCAAGTGCTTGGGTCCCTGCACCTGTGTGGGAGACCTGGAAGAAGCTCCTGTCTCCCGGCTTTGGATCGGCGCAGCTCCAGCCATTGCAGCCATCTGAGGAATGAACCAGCTGATGGAAGACCGACCTCCCTCTCTCTCTCTCTCTCTCTGCCTCTCCTTCTCTCTGTTTGTGATTCTGACTTTCAAGTAAATAAATAAAAAAAAAAAAAAAGAAATTTGAAAGGCACCAAATAAATGATCTAACAGAGCATATCAAGGATCAAGAAAAACAGAACACACCAACCGAAAATTAGTTGGCAGAAAGAAGTGATAAAACTTAGAAGAAAAAATAACAAAATGGAAACAAAAAATACAAAAGATCAGTGAAATAAAGAGCTGGTTTTTGAGAAAATAAAATAAACAAAATTGATATATTATTGGCCCAGCTAAGCAAAAAAAGTTAAAAGACCCAAGTTAATAAAATCACAGATGAAAAAGGAGATGTTACAATGGCAACACAGAAATAAAAAAGAATCATCAAGAATTACTACAAACAGCTATATGCCACCAAATTGGAAAATCTAGATGGATAGATTTCTGTTTTATATTAAATCTACCAAATTTGAGTCATGAAGATGGAAAACCTAAGTAGACGAATAGACCAATAAAGATGGAAATTGAATCAGTATTAATGACCCTCCCAACTAAGTCTAGGACCAGATGGTGTCACTGCTGAATCCTACCAAATTTTTAAAGAAGAACTAATTCCAATTCTTCCCAAGCTCTTCAAAACAATTGAAAGGGAAGGAATTCTTCCAAACTCCTTGTGTGAAGCTAGCATCATCTTAATTCCAAAGCCAGAAAAAGATGCAACGAAGAAAGAGAACTATAGATCAATATCCTCAACAAAATACTAACTAATCAAATCCAACAACACATCAGAAAGATCATTCACCCAGACCAAGTGGGATTTATCCCTGGTATGCAGAGATGGTTCAACATAATGCAAATCAATAAGTGTGATATATCACATTAACAGATTGAAGATAAACCCATATGATTATGTCAACTGATGCAGAGAAAGCACTTAATAAAATACAGCAGCCTTTCATGATGAAGATCTTAAGCAAACTGGGTATAGAAGGATCATTCCTTAATACAGTATAGGCAATATATGACAAACCCACACCAGCATCATATTGAATGGGGAAAATTTGGAAGCATTTCCATTAAGATCCAGATCCAGACAAAGGTATATTCAATATAGGATGTTCTGGAAGTTTTAACCAGAGCCATTAGACAAGAAAAAGAAATCAAAGAGATACAAATGGGAGAAGAGGAAGTCAAATTATGTCTGTTTGCAAGATGATATGATGCTATACATAGGTGATCCAACTCCATTAAGAGGTCACTGGAACTCTGGTAAATTTGCAGGATATAAAATCAACACAAAAATTAATTGCCTTTATATACACAAGAATGCCTTGGCTGAGAAAGAACTTATAATATCAGTTCTATTCACAGTAGCTATAAAAAATGTAAATAGCTTGGAATAAATTTAACCAAGGATGAGAAAAATCTCTACAATGAAAACTGTAAAACATCAAGGAAAGAAATGGAAGAAGACACAAAATATGGGAAAATCTTCCATGTTCATGGGATGGAAGAATTAATATCATCAAAATGTTCATACTGTCCAAGCAATTTACAGATTCAGTGGGATTGCTGGATCCTATGGCAGTCTAGTTTTTGGTGTTTTAAAGGACATTTATACTGTTTTCCACAATGGTTGCACTAATTTATATTCTCACCAACAATTTGTGAGAGTTCTCTATATCTTTGCCAGCACTTGTTATTTTTTTGATAATAGCCAATTTAACTGAAATCAGGTAATTTTTCATTGTGGCTTTATTTTGCATTTCCCTTATGATTGGTGATGTGGAGCATTTTTTTTTTCTAATGTTGATGTTGGCCATGTGTATGTCTTCCTTTGAGATATGTCTGGGTCTACTATCCATTTTTAAATTGAATTATTTATTTTGCTATTGAGTTGCATATTTTGAATAGTAACTCCTTGTCAGTTGTATAGCTTGCAGATAATTTCCCCTTATCTTCTGAAATTTGATGTTTATGCAGAACCTGTGAATGTGATCTTATTTGGAAATAGGGTCATTGCAGATGTAATCAAGTTAAAAATTAAGTGATGCTGACCTAGATGGGTTCTGAAATCCAATATCATTAACATCCTTATAAAAAGAGGAATACATGGATTGTGATATCCAAATAGAACACATCCATGTGTGAAAACAGTCGGAGACTGGATTGTTGAGGTTACAAGCCACAGAACCCAAGGATTGCTAGGAAATACCAAAGGGTAGGAGGGAGGTGTGGCACAGTAGCTCCAAAAAGGCCTTTGGAAGGAGCAACTCTGCTAACCTTCATTCTGGACTTCTGACCTCAGGATTGTGAGATCAGATATTTCTGTTCTGGCTGGTGCCATGGCCCACTTGGCTAATCCTCCGCCTGCAGCACTGGCATCCCAGGTTCTAGTCCCAGTTGGGGCGCCAGATTCTGTTCTGGTTGCTCCTCTTCCAGTTCAGCTCTCTGCTGTGGCCCGGGAAGGCAGTGGAGGATGGCCCAAGTACTTGGGCCCATGGGAGAACCAGGAGGAAGCACCTGGCTCTTGGCTTTGGATCTGCGCAGCGCACCGGCCATAGCAGCCATCTGGGGGGTGAACCAATGGAAAAGGAAGACCTTTCTCTCTGTTTCTCTCTCACTGTCTTACTCTGCCTATCAAAAAAAAATGGTATTTCTGTTCTTTCGTGCCACACAGTGTGGTACTTGTTTTGGCAGTCCTAGGAAACTTGTATATCCATATGCTTGAGAATAAGAAATATACTTTAAAATGTTTCTAAAGTCCAAGAAAAATAATAATGAAACATCTTAAAAGGTGAACCAAATGATAATGAAAAAAAACGCGTATGTTATCTAAGCCTAAAAGATGGAACAAAAGCAAAAATGTTCATAGTCTTAAGTTTATAAATCAGAAAAGAAGAAAGGCTAAAAATAAATGAGAAATTAGAAAAGGGAATACAAAATAAACCTTAAGAAATAGAAGGAAAGCATACATATAAATTAAGAAATCAGTGAGATTAAAACAAAAATATCTGAGTAATTTCAGAAACACAATGTTGAATATTTGAAAAAGCAAGAATTATTCCACGTACACAAATATCAGAAGCAAAACTAAAAATCTGTTCCTCAAGGATGCGACTATATGGTTAAATGTCCTAGGTGGTATTTACCTCTGAGCTGGGAGAGAATTGCATGGGAATAAGGACGGAAGGAAGGAACAAACGAACTTTTCGTGCATTGTGTTATTGCATTTTCTTTATTGGCATTTTGCAGTTCTTTTGTGAGTGTGCTGTTCATATCCTCTGTCTGTTTTTCCATGTTTGAAAACAAGGTTATTGCTGACATGGAGGCCCAAGTTCACAAGCTGAGAGAGGAGCTGATTAATGTGAACTCACAGCGCAAACAGCAGCTCATAGAACTTGGACTTCTTCGTGAAGAGGAAAAGCAAAGGACTGCCAGGGACCACGAGACGGCCATCAACAGAATGAAGGCTGAGTCCGAGAAGATGAAACTAGAGCTGAAAAAGACACACGCTGCTGAGACCGAGGTGACACTGGAGAAGGTAAGGCATCTAGCTGGATTGCTTCCTGTGCATGCAACCCGTGCTTATACTCCACTCCTACCATGCTTAGATTTCATCCCTGTAAGATAGGACAAAGAATTCCTCTTTGACTTTATTAGCTGTTCAAACAGGCAGCTTAAGTACCTTGCTTTATTCTAAATTCCACTCTGAGTTCAGTAATCTAGGGAGTTTCCCAACTCTTCTTTTGACTGTGATGGAAGGGATTATATGGAACAATCTCATTCCATAGGAATTAAATATACATTGTGATGAAATAGAAATATAATATTATCAAAGACTATATTGATGAGGTGTGCTTGGGCCATAGCTCTACATTTTCCTACATTAAGACTAAGTTTCAGATATTTCATAGATTTACTGATAATCATATCTAGATGTGATAGTTCTTTAAAACAATTATTAATGTGAAGAGAACAGATTCCATGCGTTCCCTAGGTACAGTTCCAAGAAGACAACTATACTTCCCTCACTCTGCTGTTCCGCCTCAAGTGATAGATTTTTTATGATAGTGTAACATAAATGATGGTATATTTTCTAGGTTGATATTTCAGCAGAAATAAGAAAAATGTGTTTGGAATTATGTTATTGATGTAAATGTCAGTATAATGTTTACATAGTTTGAGTTTACTTATATTTAGTACCATGTCAAATATTCTTCTTTTGGTGTCTTGAGAAAGTATAAATGTTTTAATCAGGTACTAACTGTGAACTACTGTGATCCCAATTCCTGTAACTGCCCGTTGAGTCCTTCAAGGCCAGTCTGTGTCTTGGGAATAAGAAACTTGAAATAAATCATCTAATTCTTTATAATTCTTTCCCACCTTTTCTTCACCTTTAAATAATGCTGAGCCTTCAAAGAGTATAAAACACTCTAAGCACTACTCCTCTGGTTTGCAAAGGGCTTGCTTTGTTGTACTTTAATTCATCTGAAAGTCACATTTCAGCAGACTTTGCCCTTGACAGCATAGCTCTGAACTCAGAAATAAATAGGAAAAAGGCTCTAGAGAGGTGGGAGTGAGCCTGCATTTTGGAAGAACAGCAGAGAGATCGGTGTGGCCTAGAACAATGACCGAGCTAGAGCAGGTCAGGAAGAGCCCTCAAAGCATGGGTCCAGGACAGGGTGCTGTCTAGGTCACTGAGCGGCTTTTCTTTGCTCTGTGCTTAGAGGATAGTTGGCAGGTTTTGAGCAGAGAGTGACATGATCTGACTCAACTGGAGTGGGATCTCTCCAGTTGCCTTACTGAGAAGAGACTGAATTGAGCACAGAGGAGGAAGTAGGGAGACCAAATGGCTATTGCAATAACTTAGACAAAAGGTGATGAAGGCCTGAGCCTGGTCAGGAGCCATGGATGCGATAAAAACATGTTTGGGTTATGTTGTTGAAGGCAGAGGTAACAGGACTTGTCCATGGCTTAGATGTGGGCATGACAGGGATGGTGGAGGTGGGAACAGTCAAGGATGGTGCCAAGTATACTTGCCCAGGTCAGCAGATGCATAGACCTTTTTGTTGCAAGAGTAACACATGGGGCCACACAGGGCTTTTTCAGGTTGAGATGCCTTTAAAGCTATAAATGAGAATTTTGTGATAATTCTACCCAAGCAATACAAAATAATTATGCTTTGACACTAAAATGGGCACAGATTCAGGAATTGGGAGAATTTCCTTATTCAAAATGATCTTAAAACTCTAGCAGTAGCAGAATGAAAATACTGTTGCCAGTTCTCTTTTTTTGTTGACTCTTAACACATACCTCACCTTGACCTCGGTCACCTCTGCTTAATGGTTCAAGGTGTTTCTAAAGAAATCTTAAAAGTCGCAGATACCAGTACACCCCAATTTAAGAAAATTGAGCATACCAAAGCCAGGCTCACACAACATACAACTTAGGCTTTAATTTTCTTACATTGTGTATTCACATTTCAAATGTTTCTTTTCCATAGGTGAACTTCTGCAAGCATAGGTTTATATATGTTACTAACTAACTGACAGGTTACAGATAATAAAACAATTAGTATTGGAAGCCATTGTTAATTCATTTGGCAAATATTTCTGGTAGATTTTCTATGTTCCAGGAAGGCATTATCCCAGGTACTGGTGGGAAACAAAGAAAAAAGGAAAAAAAAAGCAGGTAGCATGAGGTCAAACAGATTATGAAATGATGTGGCTGCAAGAAACACACACACACACACACACACAGAGAGAGAGAGTGAGAGTGAGAGTGTTAGAGAAACACCATAATGCTGGTATAGTGGAATTTGGGGAAAACTACTTTGTGTTGTAGAAATTGGAAAATTAACTGGAAGATATAACATTTGAACTAGATACAAGTAATATGCAAGATTTTGACTGGTAGGTATAGGGGTGGCTTTCCAAGTCAAAGAAATACCAAAAGCAAGAGAAAACAAAACCATATATATATATGTGTGTGTGTGTGTGTGTGTGTATATACCATACATATATATGTGTGTGTGTGTATACACATATATGTATACATATACATATATGTGTGTGTGTATATATACACACACATTATATATATGTATGAACATACATACACACATCAAAGAAAGTGGTTAGTGACTAAGCTAAAAGATAACTTAAGGATCATTGTGACCTCAGTGGGTCAGTTGTGAAAAACTACTGAAGGTTTTTGAGAACCGAAGTGCCAGGTTTCAAGCGATCATTAGGAAAAGCATTCTGTCAGTGTTGGCAAGATATCATAGCATTGACGTTGATGGCACTGGGGTGTGAGCAAGAGGGCTTTGCGGAGTCCAGCTGAGGTGCATGAGGAGTAGTGCCGGTGCTCGAGAGTCGTCGCATCGCAGAGATGGTGTTGGGTAGCCCTGTTCCGTGTAAATGCAGCTTGTAAAAATTCGAGATTACAGGCGTTTCTGGTTCTAGGTGAAAGAAGATGGATTCAGTTAAGACCACGTTGGGTTTGGAGTGCTACACGGCACTGCACTGGCTGTGATGTCCCCTTGCTGCTGAAAGAGTGTTCCTGGAGATGCTAGAGCAGAACTGGAAGGAACAGCCGCGGGCGGCCCCCACAGAGAGCACGTGGTGTGAGCCCGGGGAGTGAGAGGGTCAGGAGCGGAAACCGCAGGGTGGAGGGGAAGGAAGGCAGAATGGAAGGGAGCAGCGACATTGGAGAGGTTGGGAGGAAACAGGCAAAGAAGGGTCATCAAGGCAAAAGGAATGTGAAAAGAATGTGTTTTCATGGAAATGGAGGGAAAGAACATTTAGAAAGGAGATTTGAAGAATGTGACAGAAAATCAGGAAGGATGGGGGTTGAGGAAAGGTCACTGGATTGGGAACTGAGCAGTCATTGATGACCTTGGCCAGAGCTCTGAAAATGATAGTGTGCACAGAGACACAGTTGCAAAGGACAAATGAGGGAGGAGAGATGAGCTAACGCTGTTGTGATGGAAAAATCTGATGTTCAAAGGAAAGTGTGGTTCCAAAGAGCAGCAGGGATTCGGGAGAATAAATTTATGGGTTGCACATGTGTTAGATATTTTGAAGTACTTGTGAAGAATAGTAGAGAATTGATGGCATGTGATCTGAGAGATGAGGGTGTGAAGGAAATCCTTAGCACAACCTGCCTAAGCCCTTGGGTACAAGGATTCAGGTGCATGAGATGATGGGAACACATACCCTCTCCTGCCCTCAGATCTTACACCTGCCACCCTCCGCCCAGAACGTTCCTCTATGATTTCCTTGTGGCCAGCCTCCATCTCATGATGTGCACTCCTCAGAGTATTCTTCCCAGATTTCTTTATCTAAAGGCTGGTCTACCTGTGGAACCTTACTTTATCTTATCATTACAGGTTATCTCACCATCTGAAATCACCTGTTCATACGTTCACTTGTCTGTTTTCTACTTCTTCCCAGCCACTAGACTGTAAGCTCCATCAGGAAGACTTTGTCACCCCTAGTGCCTAGAAAACTTTCCTAAGGCAGGGGCTCACTTGGTGTGTGTGTGTGTGTGTGTATATATATATATATATATAATATATATATATTAGGTGAATTATTAGGTGAATGAGTGATAAGAGGTGTGACTTTTGCTGAGGGAGGAAAGAAAAGGGGGGATTGGTAAAGATATGAAGTTCCCTGCAAGACTTGAGTCTTTACACTTAAATATCATCTGTATTAGCCAAGAACCATAGTGGTCTGGTTAGGTGAGCAGTTTCAAGAAGAGGGAAACAACCAGGCTTCAGGCTGGACAAGTGAGCGGAAGCTGCTGCCAGGAAGAGGGGTTAAGGGCATTTGCTCTGGTAGAATTGGAATTCTGCACACAGAGGAAGTCGTGCAGGCAGTGGGAGTCTGGAAGAATGGAATGCTCCGGCAGTGAACTGAGAACGCAAGTTATACAGGAGGTAGAAATGAGGTTTGAGCAAGGTAATTTTAGCTGACGTGGATAAAGGCACTGAGGAGGCCGGCCAGTGTGAACGGACTTGTGGCATATGGAGGTTCAGGGAAGGAGAGAGAGCAGGAAGTAGACTTGTGCTTAATGCAATGAGTTTGGTTTCTGTTGAGTTGGTGAAATTCACCAGCCCCAATGTCCATATGGGCTGGGCTCTTGATATGACGAGCAACTTGTATTTCTGAATGATGCATGGTTTTACTTAACTTGTAAATGGAGCCTAGAGTTTGTAAATGCAGTGAAGACCTTGATAGTTCAAAAGCATTCTTTGTAAAATAATTCACTTCTAAAGCTCCAGGATCTTGCATGGTATATTTGCACAAAGTAGATAATCATTAAGTCCTAAATGAATGACTTTAAAAAAATGACCAACTAGAAATTCAGTGTAGCCCCACTAGGACAAATAGTAATTTATCCAAATTTGATTTATACCAATTATAAATACTTTAGGTAGACAAGATACATCTTTTTATCCAAATATCCATTTATGTAACCTTAGTGTTATAATTTCTTCTATATTACTTAATGAGTTAAACATATAGCATAATGCTT